AAGTTAATTTCGGGCTGGAACCTCCGATTGGTGTTGCGGTTGCACTTAGACGACAGTACATAAATCCTACAGATTTACAGTGGTTTAAACGGCAAAACCGATGATTAAAATCATTTTGAAACGGCCAGAATTATGCCTGGTTTGATTTAAGACGTAGAGATAAGAAATAGAGTTATTTTTTGTTCATTTTCTTCGTGTATTAACACTTTTTTATAGTTACACAACCTTTCTTGCAACTTTAAATCAATGTTTCTTTAATTAATGTTCTGATTAATAATCAAACATAAATATTTAATGCTTTTAAATATACAGAAAGAAGTAATAACACTTCCATTGTTAGGAATATAAAAAGAAAAAGAAACACTTAAAATTGAAGAAAAGTGAATCATAGAATTATCAGTTATGTAATTTTTTTTCTTTCCTATAACTATTTGGTTCAGATTTCCTATTTCAGAGTTTTGATTCAGAGTTTCCTATACCTATTTGGTTCAGATTTTGAATAAAAAGCGATTTTTCAATAAAATTGTAATCAAGATGGCTGGTGTCGCCATGGCAATTTTCTAGTGACACTTAGTAGCTATTTTCAAAATCGACATTAGTTTATGGACTTTATCTAAATTTATAACAGGTTATTTTTATTTAATTTACCTACAATAAAGTTAATAAGTAAGTATTTATTATTTTATCAGCAGTATTAATATTAATATAATGTTTGAGTATCGATTGAACAATAAGCCTCTTAATATTGAGGAGCTATAACATTTTTTCTGGTAGATTTTTACAGAAATCCTAATTGGGTATCTTTATCAACCACATTAAATACAGTTTCTAATCTTTAATCCTATCCCGAACAAAATGTAATTTTTCGAATATTAATGCCAATGTTTTTGTCACCATCCCCCTCCCTATTATTTGCGGCGCAGTTTACAGCGATAAATTTGAACTAAGCGTTTTACTCTCCAGCGCTCTAATTTTGCCGAATTCCGTTGGAACAATAATAATTCGAAAAACGGGCAAAAGAGCAGCCGAGCACAAAGGGCACCCCGCTCGGTAGGTTGGCGCTCAAGAGCAAAACAAAGATGTGACGAAGTGGAGCGGTTTTGGAACGGGATAGACGGCACTCGTGTGCATCCAGTTCACGCTCTACATATGTGTTTAACGTTTAAGGAAAAGGTTTTTAAGGGGTTTTGACAATTACAGCATTTAAATTAATTATTAATGCCTTCAATATGGGTTAAGCGTATGAATAGCTTTTAGCTAAACTTTGTTCTTATGGTAATATGGTTAAATAATAGTATTTTGTTTTATTAGGAGTAAAAACGACACTTTTTGTGACCAGGCCGTACATAAGGCGAGCCATAAAAAGTTATTTTTACTCCAAATAGAACATGATATACAGGGTGGTCCGACTGTATTCCGGAAACTTCGGCAGCATATTCTGCAGATAAAAATAAGTTTAAATGTTCGTATAAATGTATCTTCTAAAATGCTTAGTTTCGGAGATACAGGGTGTAGAAGTTTCATTTTTATTTCGATTTTTCCAAATAATTTCTGAAGTAAGATCAATATTTGGATGAAAATTGGTGTCTGGGAGTTTTTTGACATGAGAAATTTGATTTTGATATCAATATGACTCCTGCGTGTAGAGAGCGCCACCTACATATTTTTGAACTGGTTTGAAAAGTAATAAAGTCTCTTGGTAAAAATCGCTACGAGTAATGGTTCTCGAGATATTTGAAATCGAAAATATCAATAACTGTCATCATTAACATAAATTAAACATGTTGACTAAATAGTTATTAGATGGAAATCATAAATTTGAAATGTTTCTGTGCCAAATGTTCAACAGAAACTGTTTTTCATCATTTTTTCGTAGAAAAATTTATGATTCATTTCAAAAATTAAAAATATCGTAGTTTTAGGAAAAATAAAATGCACTGTATATATAACATACTATACTCTATTTCAATATAATTAGTTTTAAAAAGGACATACACATTATAAAGTATTTCCAATTAAAAAAAAACAAAGTTTACATATTCTGATAAAATAGTTATATATTTTCCTAAACTTAGGTACTCTATTCAACTAAATAGTCTCTATAACTCCGATAAATTGATAATTTATAGAGTTTAGATCGTTTCAAAGGAGTACGTGTACTAAACAAAGCAAATAATAGGAACTGCGCTTACTCCTCATTAATTATCCGGCTGAATACAAATACTTTCCAAATGGGTGTTTCTATTGCTAAAGCTTAATAATTGTATTCACAGGAACGCCTATTATCCTTAGAGGAATTTAAAATATCAATATAAAGAGGTGTAACTAATTAGAAAACATAATATTAGAAAAGGTAAATCATATTCAAGTAAGTTATGTTTTTAGTAATTTTTTATACAAGACGATAATGCAATTTTATCGTTATGTATGAAACAATATTTTTTCCATAGCGAGTTACGTTTTAAAGATATTCAGAAATTATTATTTCAATGAATTTATTACGAATAGAAAAAATATTGTGCTGGGTTGGCGTTGTAATTTGACAAATAAATAAAGCTGTCTCTTTAGTTGTCAGTTTCGAGTCAATATTTCTTAATTCTCTTTCGTGTCGATTGGTCGATTGCTGATTGAATTGGAGTCAGGAATGGCTCAAAACGAAATAAGTAAATTACCAAGAGACATTCAGGCTGAGGCGACAAACGCCATATCCAAACTACTTTCATTTAAATCCCGAATAACTTATGAAAAGGAATAGAAAAAGTTTCAAAAATGGAAGCAATTAAAAAACGTGCGAGAAGAAATAAAGTTTTTAACCTATCCTCGCTGTTAAAGTATCATTTAATCTACCCTTGGGGTTAAAGTACTATTTTATCTCCTATTTTTGATAGATATCAGGCAATTTTAACAGTTGCTATGGAAAAAATTAAATAATACGTAATATACTTTAAAAATACAGATATATTTAGAGTTAATAAAGTACTGGTTATTTTTAGTCGATGTACACGAAAAGATCGTTTGAAAGACTTGCAATACATCATGTCTTAAATTGTCTAGAAGAAAAATTTCTTATAATTAATCTACTTCGCGAGCGCCATATTACTTGATAGACTTGGCGCCTTAATGGCACTAAAAATAAATTTATCACCCGTTGTTGAACGCTGAAGTTGATGAATAAAAGCTTAAATAAATCTCTTGTGTATTTCTAAGTAGAAAATATAAAAATAAGACTATAATAAAAATATAATTTTTGTAGAACTTAAAATAGTTTAATTATAACTCATCAAAGAGTCTCACAACTTTGAGAAAAGCCAGTATTTGAAACGGTTTTACAGAGGATAGTTCTAACATAGAATTTTATCAAGATTTTTTTTCTGTGAAACATATGTCGAAATATCTTGAACACACTGTATGTATATGTTCTTGAGGCTATTTCAAAGCCTCAAATAGAGAACTAAAATAAAATTACGATGTGTTAGTGAACGGTTTAGTAATTGGACTGCGAACCACTTTGTTAGAGATGGACATTGTTCGTATCCAGAGCAAGTAATATTTTATTAGAGCGCGATTGTTCATTTTAGTTGAGATTGAGGAAAACAAAAATAAAATAAGAGGTGATATAACTTTGTCTGACAACAACAATTTATTAAAGCACTAACTGCACTGATGCTGCTTCTGATAGAAATAATTTAACAGAAAATTAAATATCTTGAAAATAATTGTAAAAAATAATAAATCTTACCATAATGTATGACCATACCATAACATGGTATACTGGTACTTCCAAAACCAAAGCAGAAACAGGGATAGAAACGTTTTTTTTTTCGATTATACGGTATATTATTAATATGTACTTTCAACTAATTGATACTTACTTATAATTTTTTTAAGCATCAATATTTATAAAATCATAATTAATTTTTTTGACAGAAGGAAATAACTTGTCTGATTGTTTGACACTTGATGTCAAAGAAACCTAGATAAAATCAGAAATAAAAAACGCTTTAAAACTAAATTTAAATAACTTAAAAACGATCTATTTTTAGTATAGGAACATGTATAATCAAAAAGTAACGAATTGAAAAACATTTTCACTGGTGAAATAAGAAAAGTAGGTTTCCATTTTTTGAAAAAAAAATATTTATGGTAATTTTTTAATCGTTAAGAAATTAAGAAATTAAGAAAGAACTGGAAATAACATATTAAAAGTATGAAATAACAGTATTAAATTTTGCAGCGTTGTAAAATTCAGAAATTAGTGTAGAATTGGCAACGTTGTTTCTACTCTGGATGCGAAGTCTAGAAATAGGAATTTGCCAGTCCGTTTTAAACGTTCGGCAAGTGCAAATCTTTGGCACAGCGAGGTCCTCGAAATCGCGCGTCGTGTTATATTTTGAAGAAAATAGTTTTCGAAATATGTAAAAAAAACTAAAAATTGTTATAAAGTAACTCATTTTATAACTGTTAATTTTACTTTATTTGTTATTTTGTAAAATAATAAAAATTAACTTTAATTTCCATCATCATATAATTTAATTTTTTTTTTTAATTCAAAAAATTTGAAAAATATGACTTAAAATCATAATAAAAAAACTATAAGAAAATATTTTTGTAAATTGAATTTATAGTACATACATAAATATAATTTTTTTAAATTGCTTAATCTACATAAAAAAAATATAAAACACTGAATACAAATTAAAATTTACTACAAATAATAAATAAAGAAATAAAAAATTATTATTTTACTTCTGAATATTAAATATATTAATATAAAAAAAATAAAAAGTTTTTTTAATTATCTTATTTATAATTATTATTTATTATTAGAATTTTCCCTAATTTCTAGTAGTTAATTCTTTGATTAAATTATTATTAAATTATCACAAAAATAAATAATTTATACAATATAAGTCTTACTTCAACTTATAATGATACAAATTGAAGTTGTTATAAAACTCTTGAGTATGATAATTAATATCCACTAACAAGAAACTCGAGTTTAGATCCGAATTTTGTATATTAGAAACCCCAGAAAGGCTTATAAAGTTTATTGTAGTTATTCCAAATTAAACTTCATATCTAACTGGGAAAATATACCTAAGTTTAACATCTGCTTGATGTGAAATAATTAATATTTGACTATAGAGCTTATAATATATTCTATTAAAACTTTTAAAATGATTTAAATAGTATAGAATATAACTTTTTGAAAGTAAAAATACTAAAATTATTTGACTTAGATCTGGTAGTATGTGGTATAGTGTTGTTAAAAGTTAGACAATAAATTTTTGTGATGGTTGACCCTTTCAAGGTATTTTGGGTGTTAACAAACAGCACTTATATAGGTAAGATATTTTTTTATAAATTTTAATAATATTTAATGATTATTACTAAACGATATTGAATTCACAGTAAGTTTTGTGTGACTTTAAAAATTAAATTGAAATCAGAAATACAATCCTGTAGTAAAATTGCATGTCTCCTAGACATATTCACAAAACTTGTGTGAATTTACCATAATATATTTAGTAAAAAACGATGTCACGTCACGTGACTTTTTGTGAAAACGAATCACGTTTTGATCTAAGCAGTTTTTTAAACAGGTGGGGGTCTCAGTGCGTGGGTGATTAGTGTTTGTATAATTTAAGGGCAAGTATATTATAATAATTATGTTTATATGTAGTTTCTGTAAATGTTGAAGTACTATTTTATCTACTATTCTTGATAGATATTGTTGCCATGAAAAAAACTTATTTTAATGTCATCTAACCGTTCTCACTACAGTAACATCAAACATTCTTATGTTTTAGCAGACATAATAAATAGCCATATCTAGGAAAAGTTAATTCTTAGATGTCAGTTACGACACTTTATGTGTAAGGCGACGATATGTTAGGAGACCTCTATGTATATTTATTTCTGTAGAAGAAAATTCTAGAAGAGTTTTAGAGAAATGGTTTCAAAACTTTTCATATTTAACGATCTCCTGACTTTTTTCTTTTTAGCCAATGGCTAAACGGAACACTTCGGGACAAAAATATCGTTTCCGGTTTTTTTCCAGGGGCAATAAAGTTGTGAAAACTGAAAACTGCGCTCTCCACTTTCTGAAAAGGTTATTTTGGCGGAAATATTGCCGAAGAATGGGATTCCAAGCCAGTCGTAAAGTTCACAAACAAAAAGTCAAAGGAGGACATTATTACGAGTCGGAACATACTTTAAAATCGAGAATTGGTGTGGTTAGTTCTTCGGAAATCTCATAACCTTTTGTATTGCTCGTAGTTTTTACTATAATATATCTTTCATTTTTATTTATTTATTTTTGCTAGATTTTTACAGAAAAATTTAACTTTTTTTACATTTCTCAGCCTATCACAGTCTACCAAAAGCTTTATTATTATTATTATTATTTTATTAATCAAATATACCCTACGATCGAAAAAAAAAACGGCGTCAAATACGGCTGAGGATTGATAATCCGCAATAATTTTGTCGAGGTCAAGCCCTAGACGTCACTATTTGGCCCGTACTCTTAAGAAAGTTGTATTTTATTTCTATATTTAGTAAAAATTATTTTTAAATAATTGTGTAGGGCCTAGTTATTTCTGTTTGTTACAAAATCGCTCAAATTATGGTTATTTTAAATTCAATAGCCAACTATGAACCCTTCCCGAATACAAACTGTACATTGTGAGACAGGAAATTGTAGAGAGAAACAAGCCCTATAACATAGTATACAACATTTTAATGAACAGTGCTTTCCTTAAAACCAATAAAATGAAAAATATACGAAATAATATACATGCACTGATTTCTTTCGAAAATCGACAACTATGAAACTATGAACCCTTCCCGAATACAAACTGTACATTGTGAGACAGGAAATTGTAGAGAAAAACAAGCCCTATAACATAGTATACAACATTTTAATGAACAGTGCTTTCCTTAACCAATAAAATGAAAAATATACGAAATAATATACATGCACTGATTTCTTTCGAAAATCGACAACTATGAAACTATGATCCCTTCCCGGACACAAACGGTACATTGTGAGACAGGAAATTGTAGAGAGAAATAAGCCCTATAACAGAGGATACTTTATCATGTTTTTATCTGCAGAATATGCTGCCAAAGTTTCCGGAATACAGTTCGTACCATCCTGTATATAATTTTAGTATAATAGAAAAATTATGAGATATGGAAGTAGTTTCCATAAATGTAATAATATACCGGGTGTTCCAATTAAAATTAGAAAGATGCTACCACTTTTCAAATGATACGGCAACATTGTAACGCAAAAAATCCAAATTTCTTCATAAACATCTAACATGCCATCGCCATGAATCGCCCTATATAACTTTGCGACCTTTCTTTAATACCCTGGAGTCATTTTTTCATAAAACCATTGCATTAAAACACCTAGAGTGAGATAAAGAACAGGAAACGAATGAGAAGAAACGAAATAAAGGACTAAAATGCTTCAGGCAGCGATAAATCATACCGCCTGTGACAAGAGAGAGACTTTGGTTGAAAAAAACAACCACCAGAGGGAGCGGAAATCAAAGAAAACCCTTACCGAGAGGCTTATAAAGGAAAAAAAATTCTCCGAACAGTTCATTTGGCGTTTTCGAAACGTTATTAACTAAAAATCAACCTCGATTGGGTTTTTTGTTTGTTGGAATAATTTTTTTAATTAATTTTGGGTGGTGTAATGTATGATTTTATTTTTTGTTTGTTTATAGCATTTATTATACGATATTTTTTTTAATTTTATACTAGCTACATATTCATCAAGTCTGTTGTATTAACAACATGGGACAAACTATAACATGGGACAAAAATAACATCATCCTTTGTTAGTTTTAGAATGGTTTTGGACCTTTTTTGCACATGTAATGTTTCAAGATAATGTATTTTAGTAAATCTTGTTGGTTACTCGACATCCAAAAGAAATAAGCGGAGTCATGTAATTTTGACATTTCCTCAGCAAAATATCTCAGTAAACAACCTCGTGGGGTATTAAGACACCCCGGGCAAGTACTGAAAGGTTAATTTGGTAAAAAAAATCCTTATTACAGTTTAATTATTTAAAAATATAGAAACAGAGAATTAATTTTGAAAACTTAATCAGATTTAGAATCTGGAGAGGTCCAGAAATAAAATAATAATTCAGAATTAGGAATCTGCTTAAAGTTGAATTAAATTAAAAGATTCTAAAAAGTAAGAGGATTAGGATGGGGACGAATTTTTCCAATTCTAGCGCAAAAAATTAACTTAAAATCGTTTTTTAAGTTAGGCCGGATCAAGGAGGCACAACTTAAGGTTAATTGGTACACAGAAAACGATTTTTAAGTACTTTTAAAAAAGAAAAGTTTTTAGGCAATCCAATTCAGCCTCATCTCAGATTTTAAATCAGGAAAATAATTATTTTTGGGGGTTTGTTACGTCAGAGAACGTATTTTTTGGTTAGAAGTATAGATACAATATAAAAAGTCATGTAAGAAAAAGGTATACTAAGGGCTGGCAAAGGTTAGTCTTGGGTCGAGATTTCGTACGTAAAAGAGTACATGCGTTTATAATGTACTGAACAAAGAGAGGACAGTAAACACGTTGCCAAACGTATGAAATAAACCGAGAAACTGTGCACATCGCTAAGAGACGTGGAAAGGGATATAGCAGATTTGTCGCAGTTGACCGGTCGACCCAATCAATACCTCTCTCAGTACTTAAAGTTCTAGGAAAAGGTGTACGTCATGCGTTCAGCTTCACGATTTAATTACGTCTCGTGATACTTAATTTGTTTATTTATTAACGAGTCGTTGTAATTTTCCCTATAGCTTGAATTTTTTTAAGTGCAAGCTAAAAACACTTGCATTTTTGGTAAAAAATAAGTGGAATTGAGTGGGTGTTCGATAGTGGTCGCGCTATTAGAACTCTGGATTCAAAAATCAATATCTCGAAATCTATTAGAAATAATAGATTGTAGTTTTTTCAAGAACGTTGTTAATATTTCTGCTGTATTTTCTTTGTAGACAGTATGTGAAAATCTTTATCAATAAAAAAATTACACGATTGCTGAAAATTGCTATGCTCTAAAAGTAAATAGATGGATTGTTTACAATTTTTAAATGGAAAAAACAACCTTATCGAATTTTTCTTATGTAAACATATTGTAAAATATCCGATCTCATTATATCAACTTTTTATTAACATATTTTAGTATGGGCGGCTATACTAAAAATACTTATAATTTTTTCAGTGTATTTGAATATGAAAAGATAAGATAAAACAACTTTTATTTTACATCTTAAAATTAAAAATAACTACTTTAATTCATGAAAAAAACTAATAAAGTTTTTACAAACTTTTATTCTAGCAAAATTACCACCATTAAAAGCATTTGCCTGACTCTCTAAGAAGATTAATATCTCACTGTAAATATTTTCTTTTATTCAGACTTTTCTTTGCTCTAGCTCATATTATTCCCTAGCAAAAAGGCATATTTCAAAAGATTTGTATCTCGCAAACCTATTTTATCAGGAAGAAACATCTTTATGTTATTTTATTGTTTTTGACAGTGAATATAAAATATCTGCTTATGCTCTTTCCTGTCTCACAAAGTCTCGAACTTTGTCTCGAGTTTTTCTTTTAAAATTGACATAGTTTCTTTCTTGGTTGGAAAGAATATATATGTAGATTTGGTTAGGTTAGGTTGTAATTTTGATTGAAATCGAATTATACAGGGTGGCGCGTCATATGCGACGCGGTTTTTGCAAGGAGAACAAAAGTTTCTAGTCAATTTAAAGTATTTTCTAAAATTATTTTCTACGAGTTCTACAGGGTGTCCCCAAAAAAAGTTACACATCAAAGTTATGTTTTTAAAGTTATGTAATGGAACACCCTATATATTAATTGATTTTTGGATTCTAGTAAAAAAATAAAGGTTTGTTTCATTAGAAAATTATATGGCTAAAATGTGTAGTTTTTGAAATACATTCACCGGCACGAAAAATGGGCACCTTAAAACTTTGATGTAATTTAAAGGTTAATATATTTTATTTTAATTGGCCGATTTTGATGATTTTTTAAGCAGTGTGTTGCCAAATTATTTGACTTTTTAGTATCTTTTTCTAAATTAAAAATGAAACTCCCCATCTGTTAATTATACGAGGGAAAACAAAATGTTGATATTTTTGATGAAAGTTTGAAACACCCTGTGAAATATGTTCAAACAGCAAGAAATTTAAAAATTATTTTATCACCTAGATACATTTAGAGATTAAGTTGCTGATATGGGTTTTGAAATTGAGAAGTGTGTCAAAGGTAATGCCAAGAAATCGTTGTTCGTGCTGGGAGTTTATTCGATCAGACGGCAGAAATGAACAATGAACTGCAGCCGATTTGGAAGCAGATTCGATTGGAAGTTTTTCCCTGTACACCATTTTGTAAGTTCATTAGTTGAAAATGAACCCGCCATCGCCATACAGGTATAGACATTATTTACACTGATCTTGTCAGTTGACATGAGTTACCCATAGTCACTTAAATTTTGTGTTACAGTCTATTATATCCTCAATATTACTTTTTTTCTTCTGGCAAAGTTCTTTTTCTGTTCCTAAGACTAATAGCTAATAGTAAATATCTTTCTTTGCATCGTTTATTGCATTACTTATTATTGCACCAGCTGATTTGCTTTTTTGAGAATTCCATTGATTCTAGGCTATAGGAGACTACTGGCAATATGACAGTAATGAATATTACCAGTTGACATTGAATTATCATACAATTGACGCTGATTCATTTAATTTCGCTGACATTATTGTGGTAACATGATTATTATCGAATAATGATGGATTTTCTGATAACTCTAAAATAGTTCAGTTTGAGCTCAACAATTGTTTCTTAAAGGAAGGTATTTTTTATGCTTTTAAGTGAATTTCTAGGAGTATATTATCGGCATCTATTTCATTCATGCAACAATGTCTGTAAAATTTTAAGCGCATCTCTTGAAAAACTAAGATTTCAGCCATTTTCAAACCTTAGTTGTTGTTTCATAGTAGCTTGGGTGAGTCGATGTAAGGATTATTGCGAAAATATGTTGTCATACTATCACGATATTATGTTTAACTAAAACTTTTAAAAAAATAAAATCCTTTTTTTTTTCAAATATACAAAAAATCACGTATAACTGTGTTTGGGGGTGTAAATATACCACCAAAATTATTTACACTTTGTTTAAAACTCACCCTGTATAATAATATATGTATTTCATTTTCGTTGTTTTGTTAACGTAAACGGCACTATTTTTGGATTCTTGACAAAATGGTGGAGCTACATATTTTAAGTCGATATGATATTAGTTCTAGAACAGTAATTTCAGCTTTATCTATTTTAAGATAAACTAAATCTATTGAATCCAAAAATAAATAAGAAAAATAGATACTTATTTAGAAATATGCACTTTCACAATTTTATTTTAGTATATATGGTATTATTTACATAAATTAGAAAAATTAGGTATTATTAAAAAGCTAAAAAATCTATCTAGAAAGTGTAATTGTATATTTTTATTACTCACATTAGTTATCTTTATTGTTCTGAAATTTAAAATATTACTTTTTTAATAATTAATAATTAAACAAAAAAAATATAAAACATTTATTTTAATTAAATTGATATTTATTAATATTTTCAATACTAACATTTATTATATACATCCGCTTTATTGCAATTTCTTTGATTTTTGAATTTTTTATTTAATCATGAATAATTTCATATTATCGAAAATATTTTCTATAAATTAAAACATGCTTCGGAAAATAATTTGAACTAAAAACGAACTCATCTTTTTGTCAAGAAATTATTTAGGTATTATTAAAATTAAACTTGTCTTATTTTTTATTCAATCATGAAATAATTTCATATTATCGAAAAAATTTTGATAAATTAAAAAATACTGAAAATAATTTAGAAGTAAAACAAACTCATCTTTTTGTCAAGAAATTATTTATTTTTAAAATGAAATTTGTCTTATTCCAGGATTATACCACAGGAATCAATTGCGAAAAATGTCTTAATGGATATTATCGGCCAACTGGTGTACTTCCATCTCATTCTGAATCTTGCAAAAAATGCGATTGCAGCGAATATGGTACTTCAGATGAAAACCCTTGCGAACAGGTAAGAATGTCATATGTCATATTTCAACTCTTTTAATATTCACATTTTTTCGTAATAAGAGCAAATAATAAAAATAAAAAAGGAAATCAAGACAACTGACATCTTTAATTAAATGCTATATCAAATTTTTACTTAAGGGTGTCAAAAATAGAGTATCTAACATCGAATTCTACAGATAAAAATAAAACAAAAGTTCCTATGAACATATGCCCTAAAATGCTTCCCGAAGAAGTTACAGCCTTCGAAAGGGTAAATAAAATAATATACAGGGTGGCGCCTCACTGCCGCGGAAGCTCCAAGGAGAACGGTAGTTTATGTCGAAATAAAATTTTGGCAGCATATGTAGGCTAAATTGAAAGCATTTTATAAAAATATATAGAATTATACAGTGTCTCAAAAAAGTCACATCAAAGTTTTGTTTTTTCAATGGAACACCTTATATATTAATTGATTTTCAGTTTCTAGGAAAAATAAAGGTGAGTTTTATTAAAGAAGCATCTATGATTTTGACATATTTCACATTTTGTGAAAAATGAAGAGTAAATTTTAAATTTCTGATAACAGCTACCTAAATTTTAGTAGACCTTCTATAGCCTGATATTTAATTACAGTAACCATTGTATGTTAAACCAAATTGAAATTTGACCCGAAAGGTTATACAGGGTGGGACAAAATTAATATGAAACATTAGTCACTTTTAAAAGCAAGTTACTCCTTTACTTTAAATGGAACACCCAGTATATTATTCCGGTGTTCAATGGAGAATTTATATATCTTCAAAATATTATTGATTGCCTACCCCTCAGACAAAGATTTTCCTAGATATTTTAATTTTTATAATTTTGCGTCAGTAGATCTTTATAATTTGAAAAAATCTAGGGGTGGCGGTGATATACCTTTTGTTGATTTCACAAAAAATAAAGATTGTAGAGTAAAATACTCAACGGTTATGAAAAGATACACGTTTAAAACATATTTTAATTATTACAGAATTAAAACTAGATATAAACCTATGTGACAAAAATTAGCTAGATGAAATTAAATGCTCAAAATGCTTCCTTTCCTCTTTACTGCATACAATGATTGCCTTTTCAAAAAGATCTTTTCATTTTAAAAGGCATATGTGGAGTTCTATCTCGAAAAGCAGCTACAATAGTTTCTCTCATCTTGTCGACAATAGTCGGTCGAGGTTTGAAACACTCTCTTTAAAATATCCCCATAAAAAATCAGACTAGATAAAATCAGGAGCATTTCAATATACTATTAATTAAAACAAGAACATTTCTCAGAAATTTGCCGAAAATGCAAACTTATCCGACTTATCCTACTTAGAGAGAATTGATATGAGAAATGTTCTTGTATTAACTGACACAAAATGATAACTAGTTGTTTAAGTTGGACTAATTAGACAGCTATGTTGAAGTAACGTCAGACATATCACAGCCACCTAGATTTGATCAAATAATGAAGATCTACTCAGATCAAATCATGTAAATGAAAATATTTAAGAAAATCTTTGTTTGAGGTGTAGGCAACCTTAATAGTATTTTGAAAATACATGAATTATCCATTGAATATTGGAATAATATACTGGGGTGTTCCATTTAAGATAAAAAAGTAACATGCTTTTAAAAGGTGACCAATGTTCAATATTAATTTTGTCTCACCCTGTATAACTTTTTTGGATCAAGTTTTAATCTGACTTAAAGTACAATAGTTAATTTAACTACATATTAGGCTATACCGGGTAAATTCAATTTAGGTAAGTGCTCTGAATTAACCTACATATTTTTGTATTGAAACAAAATTTAGTTTCAATACAAACTGTCGTTCTCCTTGGAGCCTCCGCGGCGTATGAGAGGCGCCACCCTGTATGTCATAAAACTTTACTTTTTTTCTGCGGAAATGCATCCTTTTTGAGTTTTTCAAGTTTAGAATAGTCAGGGCTATTTTCGTTTACTTGAAATCAGTTATGTAAGCACCCTGTATTTTTTTTTTTTAATGGTTGGCTCTTATGAGTACAACCATTACTCTCTAAATGGAAAGTGCCATTTAGGGCCGTTAAGGAATTTTACACGATCGCCATTCGTTTTGGCATTAAAATGTATATAAGAGTACAGAATTTTAAGAAAAACGGTTTACCAATGTTCTTAAATAAAAATAAACAAAATATATTATTTTTATTTAACCTTTCGAAGGCTGTAACGTTTTCGGAAAGCATTTAGGACAATATGTTCATAGGAACTTTTGTTTGATGCACTATTTTTTTTGACCACCCTGTATAAAGTTAATTATAAAACGAAAGTTGATATTTTATTATGAATGAATTTTACATTATAAAAACTAATAGACCCAATGTTGACTCGCTCTAGACAAAATAGTTCAATGACAATTTTGATGTTATACAGGGTGTTTTAAAAACATGGGCCATCTCTCGTGGGGAGATTCCTCACAAAAAATAAGATTTATTTTTCATATCGACATAGGTCCGATTCTGCTCTGTTTCGTAGTTAGAGGATGTAAAAGACTTAATATTTTTATTATAATTTTTCCAAGTACTTTTAGCGTTTCGAATAAAATTTTGATGGTAAAAGTTACTGTAAGTGGGACATATTTTAAAGTTAAAAAAGTGTCGACATATTTACCTGTGACGTGCATATGGGTTATCACTAGAATATTTTTTCTAAAAAAGCATGTACGTCTCTGACTTTTTCTGTTAACGAAATAGTATTAGCAGTTTAATGCCGATTAAAAGTTGTCTCTTGACATTTTGTCAGTTTTGGCCTCCTTGATGAGATAAACGCAATTTTATTAATTTGCCTTGATCCAAGTCTAATAGCAACCTTTCAAAATTTTAATATCATTAACTTGCGAAAGTTTTATATAAGTACTCATTGATTCCTCATCAAAAATATGTAGAAAGTTCCTATAAACATGGATATGGAAATGCATAGTTTTAGAGTTACAGGATGATAAAATTTTTAATTTTTTTTTTATAATTATCTTAGATACCATTATTTTTTTTTATTTTAAATTGCTCTTTGTTGGACTAATAGTAATAATAACTAATAGTAATAATATTTAATAATAAATTAGGTAAAATATATAATTTATTAATTTTGTTTTTATATTAATTATACTAATTGTGACTAAAAAAATGCGTTTATCTCATCAAGGAGGCCGAATTCGACAAAATGTAAAGAGATAACTTTTAATTGGCATTAAACGACCTACACAATTTTAATATCAAAAGAAAAAAAGTTAGTGGCGCACATGTTTTTTTGAAAAATATTCCAGTGATAACCCAAATGAACGTCCCTAATGAATTTCTTGACCCTTTTTTGGCATTAAAATATGTAGCACTTATAGCAACTTTTTACCCTCAAAATTTCAATTTAAAAATTCAAATTTTAATGTGAAAAAATAAGTCTTATTTTAACGTGAGGAATCTCCACACGAGAGATGGCACATCTTTTTAGAAACACCCCGTATAACTTCTGATATGTTTCCTTAGTATGGTGACATAGCTGGATCCTGCATTTGCAAGCCTGGATATACAGGAATACGATGCGATACTTGTATCCCTGGATTTAGAGGATACCCCAATTGCGAATCGTGCCCTTGTGATCCTAAGGGTATGGTCAATCCAGAAGATTGTTCAGGAGCTTGTCTTTGCAAAACAAACGTGGAAGGCAAATACTGCGATCGATGTAAATCAGGATATTTTGGTCTAAGTTATGAACAGCCCGAAGGTTGCCTACCTTGTTTCTGTTCGGGAGTTACTACGCTGTGTGAAATAGCTAGGATAGAGTCAAAAAATGGTAAGTAAAAACTAATTTAAATCTTAATTTCAGTTAACATGTACATTTTAGGTAACTACACTCAATAACTGGTTTTTGACAGATTTAACAGTCACCAGTTTATCACTCCAGTGACCAGTAACTCCAGTGTCTTTTTCTGTAGGCAACTTTGGTCTTCCCAACGTTGAAAATCTCTATTGGTTAGCGCCAAAAGTACCTAGGAAATCAGTTAGAAGCATACGGTTCTTCGTTCAATTTGGCGTCCAGTGGGTTGTAATGCGAGGCGATACCAGCGGAGAACCAACTATAGGACCTACCATGATCCTTGTTGGAACCAATGGCCTACAATTGGGTTCGGAGATGGCATTTATGGGTCACAGAAGATGGGGTTTGAAGTGCCTTTAAGAGAAAGGATGGTATGTTATCCCCTAATGAATTGAGGGATATTACGAGCAGGATAGTGAAGATCAATATAAAACGAGAGTCGTAACGAGACAAGAATTCCTGAGTGTCATGGTGGATATCAAGTATATTTTGTTGCGAGGTAAGTTTGTATTATTTTTTCAAATATAAATACAACAATAATTATTGAATAGAGAAGCTACATAATATACTGTTAATAGAAACACCCAAAAGTGATGTGGGTTGTTAAAATTGATATAGAGAGAGATGATCATCAATTTTGTTTACAAAACCTTCTTCTAAATACTTTGCATTCTACTAACTACTTTTTGTTGGTCCATTGATGTCCAAATGTTTTTTAACTATTTACCAATGACACTCCGCACTATAAAAGATAATTTTCCACGTTTTTTAAACTTTTACTCAACTGTACTGGCGAAGTAAATTCTGGCTGCTGAGGAGTTGAATGAAACCTTTTTTCTCTTACGAAGTGTTGGATTTTTTTCCTAGAATTTGTCTTAATTTTCTTATCTCTACTTGTGCATTTATAGATGTCATCGCTGTCTTTCTACCGTTAATTGACAAGTTTTGTTAAATAAATAGAGTCTGTGGTTGGTTCATTGTGAAACATCGTTGAAATATTAGTATTTTAATAAAACAGGCTTTAGATATATGAACGTTTTTTAATAAGAGTAAGTTTAAGTCTACATTATTGTTTCGGCTTGTTAGGCCTTTTCAAGAGTTTCTTAAAACTATTTTACAATATATGTTTTAAAATAATCAACTATATATTTTAAAATAGTTTTACGAAACGAAACATATAGGTACCGTATGATCGAATAAAACGGCGTCAGCGATGGCTATGAAACGAAGATCGCTGTCATTTTATATGTAAAAATAATATGGAAAATGTCATCGATCGTCATTTCATAGTCATCGCTGACGCCGTTTTTTATTCGATCATACGGTACTATGTAGAGTTAAAGTTACTCTCATTTAAAATATTTTTTGACAAGTTTTGTAATTATGTTCTATTCTGACATCAGATCTCTCTGTCTTATTTCATTATTACTATATACATTTTGTTTGCCTATGATAATAGCCCGTGATATACAGAACTTGAAACTACTGCATCTTTTAAATTTAAAAGAAGAATTGGTAAAAAACCAATTAAGTATTCGAGGTTGTAGCTTAGTTAAATGACCATTCATGTTTTAGCAATAAAATATGCAAGGAATTAAATATTTTTGCACTATTAAATCCTATGTATAAGGATAGTCAAGCTAAATATTCAAAAATTGCATTGTCTTCATTAGCGTCCAAAGATTTTGTCCACTTACCTAGGGCATTCTGCAGGAAGACGTTCTTCATATTGCCTCTCGAGACGTTAAATTTCTTTAATAATGAAAGAAATCTTGAGATGTCTGCGAAGGTTAACATAATATTTTATACACAAAGCCTTAGAATAACTTTATCATAGAACTTTCTTTTGCCACACTTTAATTATTTTGGCTTTGCTTTTAATCGAAAAAGTGCTTGTCCGGCATTGTGCAGTGGTGTTAGGTCTAGAATGACCTACACTGCTGCTGTTGAACATGTTCTCATAGCACCTGTGATGTAGATGCATGCCAGTTTCTGTACTTTGTACAGGTTTTGCTTTGCTGTACGTTGCTCTAGTTTTGTGTCCCAAGCAACTGCTCCATAGGTAATCATGGGTTTTTTTGCTATCATGGTATACATTCACCGCAAAATGTTAAGAGCGCAGCCTCATGTATTTCCCAGCAGTCCTCTGCATAGTTTTACTAAAAAGCTGACGAGAGCTTATAGAATAATTAATTATTTTTTAATTAAAATTTGAGTAAACAGATTCTGGAAAAAAATAACAAGCACGGATTATAACAATGTATACGTGAATTATCAAATTAGCCTATTTCTTTTCTTTTCACTAATTTATAAGTATACATGAACTAATGATTTATAAAAACCAGGAACTTAAACAGGCTGCGCTATATTTAGCTACTAATAAATATTACATAAGCAGATGTTAACATCAAAGCTTTTTTGTACAAATATTTTGGCCTACTTGTAAATTTAGTGCTGCTATTTTCATGTTTAGGCCTTTGATAACTTGTATTCTTTCAGAAAATGTTTGAGCACAAAAACATAAATTAATATACACTTGTCAAAGATGTATTGATTAATGGCACTATGTTAATTATTAGACTACTATTCTTAACTTAAAAATAGAGTAAACGAGAGATAATTTCAGAAAATTTTAGTATGGAAACTTACTGTAGTTCGTTATTTTTATGCCAAATTTGTCAATGTTTAATAATTTTTGTTGTAGGGACATTTCACACCGATCAAGTGAAGCCCTACTGGAAAAAGCAGTTATGGTATATGGTACAGATGAGTTTAACTATGAGCAAAGTTACGTTGAGAAGTGTTCTTGCCCATCAGGTAATAAATTTAGCAAGATTTTAATTTTTTTATAAAAAGATATTAAGTTATTTATTGTTACTCTTGGTCAGCACTGATGAAGTTTCTTCTAAATATCCATGATTTTCAAGTTAATAAATATTGTTTTGATATGTGGCAAAAAAAAGTCACTTGTATGCTTCATATAAGTATATGCGCATATTCATATGCATATGCGCATATCTAAGAAATACTTTCTGACTACTACTGCGTTCTACTATTACTTAAGTTCAATACATTTACTATGTTTTAGAATTTGAAGGAAGGCAAATACTTTTAAGTTACTTTACAGTTAAATGAGTGCTTTTACTTTTATTTCTTTACTGTAAATCAACGAAATAGAAGAAACGTATTTTTAATCTTACTTATTAGCATTATGTAACACATTTATAAAATTATTAATTACATTTTTATATAAAGGAAGACACCTTCAAAAGCAAGACAAACAAACTATTATTAACGATGTACCGAGGAAGAAATAAAAAGAAAATTATCTTTGCACTGCAAACTCTATTTTTGATGTAACATCGAATATACCTACTTCAAAAACTTTTAAACTTAGAAAGAGAATATTGTACAGAAATAATATTATTGATATACTGGGTGGTTTTGAACTGTATTCCGGAAACTGCGGTAGCAGGTGTGCAGATAAAAATAAGTTCGTATAAGTGTATGCTAATATGCTTAGTTTCGGAGATACAGGGTGTAGAAATGTCATTTATATGTCGATTTTTTCAAATAATTTCCGAAGTAACGTCAATATTTGGACGAAAATTGGTGTCTGGGAGTTTTTGACATTTGATTTTGATGTCAATATGACTCCTACCTGTAGAGGGCGCCACCTTCATATTTTTAACTAGTTTGAAGAGTAATATCTTTTCGTCCGTACCTGTATAAAACTACTGAGTAAAATGAGTAAAATTACATACATTTCCGAGATTCTTTACGTAAAAAGGTATCTTGGTAAAAATCGCTACAGTAATGGTTCTCGAGATATTCAGAATCGAAATTATCAATACCTATCGACATTGACATAAATTAAACATGTTAACTAAATAGTTATTGGACTGAAGTTATAAATTTGAAATGTTTTTGTGCCGAAAGTTCAACAGAAACTGTTTATCATCATTTTTTCGAAGAAAAATTTATGATTAATTTAAAAAAATAAAAAGTTCCCATTTTATCATTCAGTCAAATAACTACTCAACATTTTTATTTTTTATCAATAATGAGATGTATTGATTATTTCCATTCTAAATATCTTGAGAACGGTTGCTCGTAGTAATTTTACCAAGAGATACCTTTTACGTAAAAAATCACGGGTATATTTTACCGAGTAGTTTTTATACAGGTACGGACGAAAAGTTATTACTCTTCAAAACAGTTAAAACACATGTAGGTGGCGCCCCGTATAATAGGGGTCATATATTGACATCAAAATCAAATTTCTCATGTCAAAAAACTCCCAGACGCCAATTTTCATCTAAATATTGATGTTACATTATTTGAAGAAAAAATCGAAATAAAAATAAAACTTCTCTACCCTGTATCTCCCAAACTAAGCATTTTAGGGCTTATGTATTTATTATTTATACGAACTTTCTTACTTATTTTTATTTGCAGAATATGCCGCAGTTTCGGAATACAGTTCAGACCACCCTGTATAACATTTTTTATTAAGAATAATGAAACTGACATCCAATTCCGAATATATCTAGAAACAACGCTTCGCCATCTTAAAATATTTTATTTTATTGATATTTAATACGAATTTGATAAAATAGCAACATAATTCATTATGACCATTAGAAATAGAATATGGTCGGACAAAATCGGGCAAAATGTTTTATTGGATGAATAAAAGAAAATGACATATGAAATGTCAGTAATACCCCTTGATCAAAGAAACTATTTATTATACGGTCTATTTTTGTTTCCTGTATTACTAGGATACACTGGATTATCATGTGAAAGTTGCTCCTATGGCCATGTTAAATTTCCACTAACACTTCTCAAGGGAGTTGAACAAGACTACTGTGGTAAATGCGATTGCAATGGTCATTCACAAAATATTTGACAAAAAGAGAAAATAATAATAAATTCTGACAAAGTTAAGGTTACTAATATAAAGTATTGCCTCCTCGATTTGTTATGAGTGCATCAAGTCGTCGGGGGCATCCCCAATTATAAGGTTATTTATGGTTTCTTGAGGTAAGTTCTGCCATTCCTTGAGCGGCAATGATCAACTCCTGACGATTTGTTGGTGGGTTATTTCATGAAATACAGCTCTATGATGTAAACCCAGACATGTTCAATAGGATTCATGTCGGGGAGAGGAGGCCAGTCCACAGACGAGTTATTCTCTATCACGGACTATCCTAGCTCCTGTGAGGGGACGAGCGTTATCATCCATGAGAATAAAATTATTGCTGATTTCTTCTCGCAGTGGATAAATTATTGGTCTGATTACAGTTTCCACATACAAACGGGCGTTCATCACTTCAGGAATATGAATGAGCTCTGTTCTCGCCTATTGTACATGATGCCACCCCAGAACATCTCAGTTCCTTCCTTGATAAGGAGCAACAGCAAGGGCTGCATTCAAGCGATGCTGCCTCCCGCCTCCCTCCACACTCGCTGACGATAGTCATCACTGATCAAACCTATCCTGGTTTCGTCAGTGAAATTACAAGCTCCACTGAGGTAATAACCAGTTCTGGTGTTCTAGCCCACTGTTCCCTTTGTCTATGATGTAAAGTTAATAGAGGGACTCGCAGTGGACGTCTACGCCGCAATCCAGCATTAGAAAGTCGCCTGAAATGGTTCGGCTTGATATCACTCGGTGGTAAGTTCGTTGAAACTGAGATCGTAGCTCTAGAATTGAACTGACCGATTTCTTCTGGCAAATTGAGCCATGAAGGATCCTGTCGTTCAGTCGTTATCCTTGACGGCCCAACCTAGACGAGCTCTTACATTTCCGGTCCTGTATAATCTGGCTGACAGTACTTCGCACTAAATTTAAACGATCAGCAATTTGATGCCCGTTGAGACCTTCTTCATGCAAAGCGATAATTCGGGCCCTATCGAAGGCAGAAATTTCGTGCCCTGGCATTTTTGTCGCCTTCACAACACTTTCTACAAGATTGAACTCAAACTGAGAAACAAAATTTGACCGTAAATAGCAAACCACACATTCCATCGATAAGGTTTTCTTTCATTGCTTTTATGACCTATTTTTGTAGACACATATTAAGGTATTTGTACACACAGCCACAACAATATGCTATGCAAAGAAATAAATTTGTCTGGGGGGTGCAAGACTTTTGCCGATGAGTGTAGAATATGGTCAGACAAAATCGGACAAAATGTTTTATTTGATGAATGAAGAAAATGACATGAAATGTCAGTAATACCCCGCTTGATCAAGAAACTATTAATGGTCTATTTTCCTGTATTACTAGGATACACTGGATTATCATGTGAAAGTTGTCTTATGGCCATGTGTTAGAATTTCCACTCAACACTTCTCAAGGAGTTGAACAAGACTACTGTGGTAAATGCGATTGCAATGGTCATTCACAAACCTGTAATGCAGATACTGGTAAGGCAATTTTATAAATTTTAACAATTGATACTAAGATACTAAGATATAACGGTATCCCTATTTTCAAAATTCTCTTATCCGATTAAAAATTAAGCATTTTATTACTGATTTACTAATATACATATATTACTGACGAAAATTTCGATGAAACTTCGAAACATTATGATTTATTTTCTTCTTTGGATAATATTAGGCGTACTATTAAGTTAATAAATAATTATTAATAAAATAGAAATCCCCTTATGGTGTTTCTTTAATGTAATGAACCGAGATCGAACGATACAAATACAGGGTAATTTACCATTGGGATTGCCACCATTCAAGAAGGGGCCACCATTTCAAGAATAGGTTTAAAATATAAGAATACAAAAGAACATTGTAATTGTTCTTTTTACATCTTATGTACGTTGTATTGTTAGTTGTTTAGTTTTAATTGTTTATACCTATTTTTATTGGTATAAACAATTAAAACAATAGTAACTACAACAATTACAGCAATAGTAAATAGTAAATAACATACATTCGAAATTTTCGCATATTTTTTATTGCTTTCCTATTTTTGGTGGATCGTGGAAAATTTAATTGTTTCTCTGGAACTAGTTCTATTTGTTTTATTTTACGATTGGTTATAATTTTCACTGGACACGTACGTTTAATTTTTGGTTTATTACACTCAATGTGAATCAATTTAATATAGATTCGCATTGAATATTTTTTTTCCTCACTTAATATGTTTTTTTCTCACTTAATATGTTTTTTTATATGTATTTTCCTCACTTAATATGTTTTTTCAAAGGTTTTTATACAACATTTATTAATATTTATAGGCGAATGTTCCTGTGAACACAACACCGTTGGTGAAAAATGCGAACGTTGTGCTGTTGGATATTACGGGAATCCTCTAAGAGGAACGGTGCAAGACTGTCAACGTTGCGCTTGTCCTTTGGAAGACGATAGCAACAACTTTAGCCCCAGTTGCCAGCTAGATTATTTTAACTTGGACAACGAAGGTGGATATGTATGCACTCAGTGCCCCAAGGGGTACACAGGAGATCACTGTGAAGTGTAAATATTTTTCTTAACAATATCATAAATACACTGAGATGCAAAAAAAAACGAAATGGAGAAAATTTTAGTCAAATTTAAAGTGTTATATTTTTGTTATTTTTAGCCCTATTTTCATGAAATTTTTAGCTAGCTGTATATAATTATATCAACTTTAATTCGTAAACTCAGTTTTTTTTTATAAATTTTAGTATTTGGCATATTATACAGGGTCAATCGAGGGGTTGTTTTTTACCCTAATTTTTACACACCCTGTGCAATAATTTCGTGTGTAAATTTTCCTAAAATATAATTTTGTGGTCTGAACTATGTCTCCTGAGCATTTTATTTTTTTGATCATGTCAATACATGTCTTGGTTAATTTTTAAGAGCGAAAAGAACTTACCACCAACAATTTGCAATTTTTTCAATTATAATTTCTTTTTGAAGCTATTTTTCCAATATGACAAGGCAGCTTTGGTGATTATTGTGAACTATATACTAGCTACTATGAACTGCCCATCGTGTTCGACGTTTGGAAAATGCTTGGCAGGAGGGTTAGAGGTCGCGAAGCAGTACCAGCTTCATTAAGTGAACTTCACTTTTTGTTCTTAAAGAAGAATTGGAAAGCATAATGCAACATGATATAGGTACTATATAGCGTCAATGACAGTATGAACGGACGTATACAGGAAGTTATAGCAGCCAGGGGAGGCAATACAAAGTAGTAGTAGGGTATTTTTTACAATTTTTTTTTTCTGTTTATATACTTGAGTATTACAGATGTTTTCTTTAATATCGTTAGTTCTGTTATCGTTATTAATGTTTATTAAAACCGGGATTGTATGGTTAGTCTTTAACGTTTTTATTTATTTAGTATAGAGTATCCAATGCTGTAATATGATGTTACGACAATAGTCACCAAAACCATCTCGTCATATTAAAAAATTACATCAAAAAGTAACGATAATAATAAAAAAAAAATGCAAATTCATCGTTATAAGTTTATTTCGGTCTTAAAAATTAACCAAAGCATGTATTGACATGAATCAAAAAACAAAATGCCCAGAAGTCATGGTTCTGAGCGCAAAATTACATTTTAGGAAAATTTAAACACAAAATTATTGCACAGTGTGTTTTAAAATTAGGGTAAAAACAACCCCTCGAATAACCCTGTATAATATGGCAAATACTGAGGTTTATAAAAAATTGAGTTTACGAATTAAAGTTTAACAAAAATTTCACAATATTGAACTTATTAAATTATTGTTATTATATTCATTAGCTTCCAACAGATAAGTTGGCCAACTTTATAAGTCTTTATATGACATGATCCAAATCCGCAGATAACACTTTCTGTTTATGTGGCACTAAAAGTCATTAAATGTAAAATAACTTATTACTAATTTTAAAAAATAATTTTAGAGAAAAGCTTAATAATAAGAGATAAAATATAATGAACTTTAATGAACTTTTTTTATAGATGCGACGATGGCTATTTTGGTAGCCCTTTAGAAATTGGAAGCAGTTGCAAACCTTGTGATTGTAATGGTGGACCCTGTGACAGAAAGACAGGTCAATGTCTGTCTTGCAAAGGAAATACCGAAGGTAAGTTGTAGAAATTATACCCACAGAAAAATAATTTGAATATTTTATCTACAGGGTGGAAATGTGAAAGGTGCAAGCAGGACCATTATGGAGATCCAACGATACCAAACTGTAAAATTTGCGAGTGTGATCCACTTGGCTCCATTTCTAAACAGTGTCATAATGAAACGGGACAGTGTGTATGTAGAGAGAAGTTTGTGGGAAGAACCTGCGATCGTTGTGAGGTAAAATACTTATAATCCGTTAGTTTTAGATACTATTCTACAGTAATTCTGCAAATCTTTGTATTTTAAATTTAATTCCTGGCATCAGTCGTTTCATTGCTTTTTCCATTATTCTGCGTTTTCATTTACATATGGATGTATAGGTCCTACTGAATACCGACACCTATCTTTTCAACCGATAGCAACAATGTAGAGATCGAGATTCGTTCCTTATCTATATTATATATCTAATCTTCTTAGGGAAACGTAAACATTGTTTAGAAGTCGAAATAATTTCCTTTATTTATATACAATATCAAAGTTAGCATTTTTGAACAACTCAAGTGAAATTAAGGATCTTGGTGTAATAACAGAATTCCAACCACACCAACCTTAAATTTTTCGACGTAACCATAACCACATAACTGTTATTTAAATCTCCCGAACGTCCCAGAATTTATTATCTAGAATATCCGGAAATTAAAGAATGAAGAAGTTTGGAAAACTGTGTTTGATATAAAAGTGCTTCCAAAGTCAAAGTGTTTCCAAACTATAACTGAGTATAAAATTGAAATCAAGAGAATTCAAAAACAATTATTTTAAATATTTTTATTATACTATAAAAGTATGTATTTTATATACTGTATTTTATATACTGATCGAAAAAAAAACGGCGTCCAGTTGGCTGGAAAATGACGATCGATGACATTTCCCATATAAATTTACAAATAAAATGACAGCGGTCGTCATTTCATAGTCATGACTGACGCCGTTTTTTTCATCATACGGTAGGTCCATAGAGGCCGGAAGATGAAGGGTACAGGCAAAAAAGCAATAAGTCAAAAATCGGAGCTTATAGTAAATGCATTAATGCATAGAAAATTTTCGCGAATTTATTCCGAGATCAAGCTTTGTATTTTGAAAATATTTAAAAATTTTAAAAAAATAAAAGAAATTTCTGTCAATAAGAAAACTATCCAAAAATAAAAATAGCTTCTCTTCCTCCTTAATATGGTGTTTGTTTGAGGCAAATCGATTAGAAAATAAGAAAGTTACAGTATTTAAAAAAATATCGTGTCGGTCATCTTTAATTCAACATGGCGAAAAAAGCAAGCTTCCTAGAAGGTGTAATTTTTTTTTACAGACTACTATGGATGGGTACTATCATCTGTGAAAAAATTAGCTTGATTCAAAACTTCTCCTAAAGGCCATTATTTCACCTAACTGCCCTGGCCTATGAAGCTGACTAACTAGTTTTGAAATGAGATGTAGCAAAACATGTTCTTTCGTTATTCGATTCGTTAATATGTTAGCTTGTCTACAAGAACAAAAAAGAATGCAGTGAATTACTTGATTTATTTTGATAACGAGAGGTCGCAACGAGTGAGGCGAGGACATATCTCCTTTTAGCCTGTATAGCAAATATAAAACAGTTGATATCTCCTGACTAATCCCTTATTTAATCCGAACAATTTCTGAGGACCTAGTATACACCTGTATCGTGCAGATGACATGATTAACTCAATTTCAGTACCCTTTAAGATAAATTCAATCGATTAATTCACTAAGTCAAGTTTATGATATTACAACGCATTCCCAATCACTCTTGAAAATCTCACATTAGTTTAATATTATCTTGAAATCGCATAGTCCTGTTGAGATAATTACACGTTTACATTCTCTAACTAGACTATTACCTTTGCAGGTTGGATATGGAAATGTTACAGCTCTATGTCAACCTTGCGCTTGCAACTCAATTGGTTCCAAGTCTGGATTATGCGACATTCATACTGGTATTTGCGACTGCCTACCTGGAGTAGAAGGGTTTCGATGTGACGCCTGTCAAAACTTACATTGGGGCTTTTCTATAACTGGATGTCAAGGTAAGTGCCTAGTTTCCTAAGAATTATAAGATAAATTGTTTATAAAATTGTTGAACGTTTTTAATAAGACTTCTGGAAAAGATACTGTAACGCATTATTTATTATAACACAGATTTATTTTTAAACAAATATTGCAAAATGATTATATGAAATTTAAATGTCATATTAATGTTACTAAAATCAAAAAAAAGCCCAGCTTCAGTAAATCTTTGTAACCAGATATTCATCCAGTTACTAAAGGTAGCCAGATTGACATTGTAAGGAGTTGAGAACATTGGGTCAAAAGTATAAAATCTAAAAAAACGTTGACATATTTACTTGATCGTCTATATGAATTTAATTACTAACCATAAAAATATACCGTATGATCGAAAAAAAAAATGGCGTCAGCGATGGCTATGAAATGAAGATCGCTGTCATTTTATTGTAAATTTATATAGAAAATGTCATCGATGTTCATTTCCAAGCCAACTGGACGCCGTTTTTTCAATCGTACGGTACTATCTATATTTAACTGAATCTAGTTCATCAATTCTAGTTTAAAATTAAAGGTTCGTTTGGTTTACATAACAATGGGATTATTTGGAAGCACTTATTGATAGAATTAGGTAAAAGTTGCAAAATGCATCTATGATTTCCTAGAGTAAACATTCTGGTAAATATATCTCGGCTTATTTTCTGATCCATTTTACTATACTGTTGAAAATGTAATTTAAAGGAGATTATCTTGCCTTAGCCCCAATAAATATCTCACCTGGTCCACTGTTTATTTTCATATAAAACAGGAAGTAAAACCAAGACCTATTTTTCTAATCGAATTTCAATATAGGTCATAACTTTACATTGACAAGAAATGAATATGTAAGATGTATATATAAGATACAACATACTTAAATATATATTAATATTACTTAGTAGTATAAAACTATCAAATAATTTATTACTCCACCGTACTTATTAAATGTTTATTATTTACGGGTCTGTTGATTTTGAGAGTATATCAGCATTTCGGAAGTATTTTACAATTATTATTCGATTTATAACTTAAAATACATTACATGTTTTATTCAAATTAAAATTATGTTGGATTTACAAAATATAAAAAGGTGTTTTCTGTTGAGGGTCTCTATTGTTGTTCAAAAGAACAAAGTAAAGTCGGTGGAAAACACGAAATTAATTAAATATCAATAAAAGAAATGCTCAAGGGAAATAGATAGGAATGAAAAAGGAAAAGAAGAGATCTCAACTAAAAGGTAAGTTGATGCACCTCGGGATTGTCAACTCCACACTCATAAACCCTCAGGAGTGTTACTCCTCAATGTCAGATTAGTTCTGGAATGGAAATTACCAGAACATCCACTAAGGTATTTAAAGCGGGAATCGCTCGAAACAGTCAATTTTAAATAGAGTTTTGAAATTATTTTAAGTGTTTTATCGAGTGTTTTCAGTTAAGGATCTAGGGAATCCGTAACACTATACATATACATACCCATTGTTTAGTAAAGTTTTGAAAATATTGTATGTGAAAGTTTTCTAATTCTACATGTTTTATCTACCTTTCAAACCTTATCACTCTACCATATTATATTTTTAAGTATTTCCTCAATTTTTAATATTTTGACCCAGTCGCTATAGATCAATTTCTTATTTTCGATGAAAATTATTTAATATTATTTAACCTGACACTTCAGGGTTTCTGAATTCGGTGTCAGGATCCTGTTTTGAAACGTCGGATTAGGAACCTATAATCCGGGCAAAAGTTAAATATAAAAGTTATCGTGTTTTTAGATGTCTATTGGCGAGTAATAAATTTTAGTAAACAGGGTCGGTCATAAGTTAAGGCACATTAAAATTTTATTTTTTTTAAATAAAACTCCCTGTATATTATTGCATATTTCAAGTCTTCCTTCAGATACACGCAAAAATTGAGATACACACAATATATCTCAAAACAACTGTTTCCGAGTTATTGAATCATTTGAGAAAGATCACTTAAACAATTCGATTTAATTAATTTCGATGTGTTCAGATTCATTTAATGACACCATTCTGGGGAAACTGTGATAGGTACTTAATAATATTAGACAAGTTCTCAGGTTAGCATTTACAGGTGTATAAAATGAGATTATATTAAGTCTGGAAATTACTAAAATTTTCGTTTAACATTTTAAAATCAAAACTTCATAATTCAGAAATGGTTGAATTTAGGTACATTATGTATATTACGACTATTGCTTAAAATTGAAGGAATAATTGAAATATGCAATAAAATACCGGCATCAGCGATGGCTATGAAATGAAGATGTATTGTCACTTTATATGCAAAGTTATATGGGGAATGTCACCGATGTTCATTTTCAAGCCAACTGACGCCAGTTTTTTTTATCATTCTGTTATATACTATTGTCAATGTGCATATCTTCGGAGAACGGAATGACCGCTAAAGCGTTTTCTTTATTACCAATGTCAGATTCGAATAGCGCGCCATCTTTGACGCTTAGCAAAAATCCCGGATGTAACAACGGTAATTACTAGAAATAAAAGAGAATGTTACAGTTAGTTCTGGAATGGAAATTAGGAATCGCTCGAAACGGTCAATTTTAAATAGAGTTTTGAAATTTTTTAAGTGTTTTATCGAGTGTTTTAGTTAAGGATCTAGGGGTGTCGTAACACTATACTATACACAGGTCGGTGCTATGTATGGGAACGCCTGATTATTGAAAATATACAAGATACGACAAAAGTTAAATAAAAGTTATAGAGTTTCAGATGTCTATTGGCGAGTAATAAATTTTAGTAAACAGGTCGGTCATAAAGTTGTGGTAACATTAAAATTCATTTTTTTTTTTTTAAATAAAACTCCTGTATATTATTGCATATTTCAAGTCTTCCTTCAATGCTATTGCAAAATTGAGATACACACAATGTATCTCAAACAACCGTTTCCGAGTTATTGACTTTGAAAGATCACTTAAACAATTCGATTTAATTAATTTCGATGTGTTCAGATTCATTTAATGATACCATTCTGGGAAACTGTGATAGATACTTTAATAATATTAGACATTAGTTCTCAGGTTAGCATTTACAGGTGTATAAAATGAGTTTATATTAAGTCTGGAAATTACAAAATTTTCAGTTTAACATTTTAAAATCAAAACTTCATAATTCGGAAATGGTTGAATTTAGGTACATTATGTGTAATACGACGACCATTGCTTAAAATTGAAGGAATAATTGAAATATGCAATAAAATACAGGGGGTTGCATTTAAAAAAGATAAATTTTGATATGACACAACTTTATAACTGACCCCGTATACTTAAATTTACTATTAGGTAATACACATTTAAAAGCCCTATAACTTTTGTATTTAACTTTTCGCGGTACCTTGTACATTTTACCTAATAATCGACCATTCCCTTACCTATCAGCGACCCTGTATACTTCCAGCACATCGCTTAAGAATCTATGGGTGGGCTCTGGCTAAACTGTTTTTGTTTGTAAAACTATTACAAGTAAATAAACTTTGCGTCAAAGAGTTTTGCATACTTGTGTCAGTTGTGTCTAAAACCTTGTCTACACATAACGTTTTTTACGATTTGTCTGTCAGTTTTATACCGGGTGCGTCTCAAAGTGGATCACCCTAAACTTTTTATTTTTCAGATAAAAAATGAGATTTGGTATGTTAGTATATGACATAAATTAGGATTGATTGATGTATTCAATTATTTTTTGATCACTTCCTATTTCACAGAAAATGACTACAACTTTTGATTTTTAAATGGTACCCTTGGTATTTTTTACTTTATTCGATAGAAAATGTCACTGAATAAAATGAGATAGTCGTTGGTGTGTTTCGAGTCAGATGAACCGCATGTTACAATTTCAAATAAGCCATATAAGAAAATGTCAAAAGTTGACATATGATATGTCATTCTATTCAGAGTGTCATTTTCTATCAAATTAAGTAAAAAAAAAACTAGGTACTGTTTAAAAATCAAAAGTTGTTGTTATTTCCGGTGAAACAGGAAGTGACCAAAAACATTTGAATACGTAAATCAATCCTAATTTATGTCATATACTAACATACCAAATCGTGCTTTTTGTCTGAAAAAATAAAAAAGTTATAGGGGTGAGCCACTTTTGAGACGCACCCGGTATAAAAGATCGCCTAGAAAACTTAAAATCAGTTTTACATTTCCGATTCAATTGAACAAATGCCATCTACATGCACATACCAAGGGTAAAAATCAAGTTTCAAAAATTATCCAAATGTCAAGTGTTTTTGTTTATTTAGGAAAATCTTATAAAAAGAAAAAAACTCTTATTTGTTATAGTGAAATATATTTCCAGAAACTGACAAAAATGAATTCATCACTTGTAGTTAGCTTATATTCTTTTTTCTTATTAACTTGGATTATTAGAAATAATGGATTACGTCTATTTCCTACTCTGAGGCGCTATGCAACATGTTTAGAGGATCAAGCAACTGGAGGTTTTTTGGTCCTACATACGGAGCTTTTCCGTAAGTTTCCGGTTCGGTCTCCTTAAGCTCGACGTTCTATCGTGTTTATCGTTTTCCGCGTTGAAAAAGTCGCTCGTCAAAACAGGGCTTTGGCGACGTGTTCGCCCAAAGCCGCCAGCTTTACTCTAGAAAAGCGCTACGTGCAGATGCCGTTGAGAGATCTATTGTTTATCCCTTCGATATGGTATCATTTCATCTTTTTATTGTTATAAACTTCCTAGATTTATGCATAAACCGAAAGCTCGATTGTTTACATTAAAGTTATTATTGTAAATATAGTATGCCCATGTGTAATTGAGAGAATGTAAGGGGGTGTCTATAAATTACGTGGAGCGTTTTGAGGATTTTTTTATTTTGCCCGAAAAAAAACGCGATATTTGCCGAAATTCCCTCTTTTCCCTACGTGAGACTTAGTGAGATTCGGCTTTACCCCCTCCCCTCTTGATTCTGTCATATAATTAATGGACATAGT